ACAGAGACGGGCGCTTCTGTCAGCGCCTGGTCCGGCAAGCACGGCAATGACCAGAGGTGCAGGGCGTGACCTCAGCCGTGTGGGCAGTACTTGGTGTGCTCCCTACTTCTAGAAAAAACCCTCTGTCCTAGTTTGTGCCCCAAATGCCTCTAAGTGCCTGTTCCCTGACCTATAATTAAAATCAATTCTCTCGCTGGAAATCCCAAAACACAGTCTCAATTATCAGCAGTTCACGAAACTGGCCCAGTCCCACTCACGGGGAGCCCATCACAGACGGACTGACAGACAGACAGACACGCTCAGGGGGGACAAGCCTCCGCCCCACTCAGGAGCTGAGGTGCCTCGGGGGAGGTGTGTAGGTGCTCCAAGGGTCAACCCCTGCCTGGCGGATGCTCGGGGGCCTCTCTACCCTCCCTGGTGAGCATCCTGCCCACACTGAGCTCCAGTCAGGGAGGGAAAACACATGCAACAGGGGCTCCAGAAGGCTCACAGGTGACCCCAGGGATTGACCCAAGGAAGTCCACCCATCCTGGGACCACTGAGTCAGTCCACACCTGTATCCACCCGTGGGAGCCCCGGGCAGCATATCCATACCTAAAAACAGAGCTGCATGGGCTCCGTCGGTCTGGGGGTCCCACCTCCTCTGCCAAGAGGCGCCGCAGCTCACGTCAGCCCAGGGGCTTCTGTGGCTCGGGGACGCCCAGGTGTGGCCCCTGTGCCAGCTGTGGGGCCCAGGCCCACACCCACCTACACATACTGCCCACTGGGCTACATGTGACCCAGGCCCTGGTGAAGGTCCCCGGAGTGGAGACCCTGGGGATACAGAGGGGGCTTCAAGAGAGCTGGGGGGGGGGCATGGGTGCCTGGGGTCCTTCCCCACCTCCCCAGGGGCCCAAACAGTCTGGAATCCTGCCCCCCCCTTGGTGACAGCATGCAAACACATCTGCTTGGAGTAAGCAGGTCTAGTGGCCAGGATGTCCTGTGGGTCCAGGCGAGGCCAAGCTCTCCAGGGCAGGGCCGTGAACTACAGTCTGGACGGACAGAGCTGCCCCCACGGCTGATCCGCTACCGGAGTGAACTGCATGAGAGCTGGGGTGTCGGCCGTTCTAAGAAATGGAGACAGAGAGAACAGAGTCCTGCTCTTCCTCAGGAAAAGAGTGCCTTGGGCTTCCCTGGTGGCACAGTGGTTAAGAACCCGCCTGCCAATGCAGGGGACATGGGTTCGATCCCTGGCCTGGGAAGATCCCACATGCCGCGGAGCAACTAAGCCCGTGCGCCACAACTACTGAGCCTGAGCTCTAGAGCCTGCAAGCCACAACTACTGAGCCCACGTGCCACAACTACCGAAACCTGTGCGCCTAGAGCCCATGCTCCGCAACAAGAGAAGCCACTTCAATGAGAAGCCCACGCACCACAACAAAGAGTAGCCCCCGCTCGCCGCAACTAGAGAAAGCCTGGGCGCAGCAACAAAGACCCAACACAGCCAAAGATAAATTAAAAAAAAAAAAAAAGAGTGTCTTAAACGGACCATTTCCTGTGACTAGCAGGATCTCAGCCAAGGCAGGAGCAGGGCCGGCTCAGCACACCTGCCCTGCCCAGGCATTTCCTCCAGGGGAAACAGTGGGGAGGGGAGGGGCTGTCACACCAAAAGGTGCCTAAGGCCCTCCCAGCCCCCAGCAGCCACACCTCAAAGCAGACATCAGGCCCTGGCTCCTGGCCAGGTCTGCAAAGGTTCCAAGAACCAGAAGGAACAGACCCTGGTGCCAAAGGACCCTCACATGCCCAGGTAGGCTGGGCACCTCCACAAGGCCACCAGGTAGGCCAGAACCATCCACGGGACAGGCAGCCAGCATGCCTTCCACCGTCTCACAGCACACTGAGCACCCACCCGCTCCGGCACAGACGCGGGATGAGGGACTCTGAGGGTGCCCCAGCCTGGCCTCTCAGGTTCAGCGCCACCAGGGAACAAAAAACATACTGGTTGGACTGTCGCTGTGCTTCCCACCCTTGGAAAGACAACCACAACCGGAATAACATCACATGCCACCTGTCACCACGTCAGCAGCCTGGGCTGGACGGCGAGAGGGACAGCGTGGAACACAGCCCCCAGCCCTCCCTGGGAGGAACTCGATTACTGGGGGAGAATCACTGCAATAACACCCTCAGGAGGCTAAGGGACAGGTAGAGAAGGGGGGTGGGGTGGGTCTGGGAAAGACGAGGGAGGGGATGGGACAGAGGAGGGAAACCGAGGAAGTGCACAGAACGGGGAGGGGTGACCTCACTTTGCTCAGGCCCCAGGGCCCTTCCTGCTCTGAGATGGGAGGAAGGCCGAGGTACACCCCTCCCAAGCGGGGAAACCGAGAGAGGACCACACGGCCAGTGCACACGGGGCACAGCTGGGATCCAAACCCAAACCCAATGGCCAGGGCCTCATGGCTGTGCCCAGGCGGGGACAGGCCACAGCGGGTGAAGAGGAGGCCTCTGAGCGAGAGCCTCAGGGCAGATACCGGGAGGGGACTGGGCCTCAGCGGGGGCAGCATGGCTGTGCTGAGCAGACAGGGCAGAGGGGAGCCTCAGTTGTGGGGTGACCCTCGGACATGGGAAGAAAGGTCAGCACTGGATGTCTTCCAGGTCCCAGGAGGCCAGGGTGGACATGGCCGGCCTCACCAAGCTGGGGAACTGCTGGGAGGCCCCCCTCAAGGAGAGAACCACCACCCAACTGCCCGTACGGAAAGACTAAGGTTTGCGGAGCCCGTGCTGTGTCCCCCTGGCCCTGTGTGGCTGGGGGAGCAGATCCCACCCTCTCGGCCCTGCAAGCCCAGACTCCAGAGTGGAGCAGTCAGGGCTCTCCCGAAGAGAGAGGTCTTGCAGTGGGTGGCGGGGGCTCTGGGGCAAGGGGAGTGGGCCACTGGGAACCAGAGGCAGCAGAGTCACGATGACCCAGGCCCATGTGGCTCCGAGTCATGTAGGAGTGAACACCATGGATGACGCCAGCCCACACGCACTGACCTCTGCCCGGCCTGTCCTCTCCCAGCCACAGGATGCACCAGCCGGGACACAGTCCCTTCTGACGGCTCTCAGCAAGCTGGTCATAGCAGCACCAGCTCGTCCAGGGAGAGGGCGTCGGCACAGGACGGAGCCGCTGAGTCCACGGCCGTAAAGGGGAATGAAGCACGGGCACGTGATGATAGAAAGGAACGAAGCACCGACACACACGACGCGGACGAGCCTCAGAAACATCGCGCCGAGGGCAAGAAGCCACACGCAGAAGGTCACGTGTCGTATGATCCCGGTCATGCCACTGGGGGGCGGGGAGGGACTAGTGAAGACGGGCTTTCTTTTTGAGGCCGTGAAAAGACAGTTACACAACGCTATATGAATGTACTCAAAATTAAACGGGTGAGTTATATGGTATGTGAATTACCTCTCGATAAAGCTGTCACCAAAAAAAAAAAGCACCTTAAGGAGCGGGGGGTGCACAGGCTGAACCCCTGGAAAGCCAGCCTCCTGTCCCTGTCACCAGGCCTCCAAACCAGTCCCCAGGGTTCCCTCAGATAGGGCGCTGAGGAGGCCACTGCCCTCCCAGGCAGCGGGTCAAGGTTTTCACGAAACAAAATGGCAAAACGTGTCAAGGATGGGACAGAACAGAAAAACGGACACAGTGCAGGTGTCTTTCCAGCCCCGACCTCATGACCCGCTCCCAGGAGCACATCCTGGGCGGGGGTGACTTGGGAGGGTTCCCTGTAGCAGCGCTCTCGCTGCGGGGAGGGGAGGCCTTGAGGTGGTGACGGGTTACAGACGGTCTTTTGAGATGATGGTCACGAGACTGTGGATGTGGGGAAACGCGTCTGACTTGGGGAAGGGATGCTACAGAGAGACAGGAGTTGAGTCACTGCGACTACATGGGAACACACCTGAGTAAGGGGCTGCAGGAGACTGGCGGCTGCTTCCCACATGGCAGGTGTGGTTCTCAGCTGCCGCTGCGCCCTCCATCCTCTCCACTGGGTGCCCCAGGCACAGAGGGGCGCAGAGGCCGGGCCACCCCCGGGGGAGCAGGAGGCCCGCTCGTCTATGCCGCACTCAAGTGGGCAGGACCGGCCTCTTGGCCCTGGCGTGCTCCAGAGGTGCTTGCGGGCAGCGGTGTGGGCACCATGGGGCATGCGCGTACACCATGCACAGAGGGCCCCAAGGCAGTGCCTCCAGGCTCACTGCCCTGATCACTGGCAGGAAGGGTGGGGCTTCAGGAGGTGAGGGGTTCACCTCAGGGGTCACCCCCATGCCTGTGCCCAGGGAAAGCTTCCACTGCCGACCACTGAGGGCTATCCCATTCCTCCTTATCTGAGACGTGCAACCTTGGAGAGCAGCGTCTGGGCCTGATCTGTGTCAGCTGGCTGCAGGGTTCTGGTGAATCAGGTGTGCCTGTCACAGGCCACGCTGTCCTAAATCCTTGGCCCCTCACCCCAGCATGTAACGCCTACAACCAGGGCTGCCCCTCCCATGCCCTGCAATGCCACCTGCCTCACGCTGCAGGGTCACTGAGATGCTGGACCAGCCAGCATCTGCCTGCCCTGGGGTCTCTGGGTCTGTGCTGGGAGCAGGCATTCACAAATCAATCAGAGTAACAGTCTGGGATCTCTCGCCGAGGTAGGAATCCAGAGCAACAGGCAGGAAGATTCCCTCTGGTTTCTGCTCCTTTGGTGGAGAGCCCTCTGGCATCCACCGAGGCTACAGAATGGGACTGCTGTCCTGCTGGCTCCGGGACGCCAGGCACCCAACCACCCAAAAATCCCCCAGGAGAGCGAAGCCTGGCTCTGCCCAGTTTCATCAGGAGGGATCAGCCTCGCCCCCCGAGACCAAGAAGGGTGAGTGCTGGGAACAGACAAGAATGCCTGCCCTTCACCGCTCACGAAAAGGCTCGAGAAGTCCCAAAACCATAACCGGAGCCCCGACGCTCCTGTGTCCCCAGGCAGAGGCCCCAGCACACGGCGGCCGAGCCCCACCTGCAGCTCCTTGTCCGAGTACTTCTGGGGATTTTTGCTCCCTTGGCTCTTCTTGCGGAGTTTCTTCAGCTCGGCCTGGCACTTGTCCAGTGCATCACCTTTGCTCCTTTGCTCCGTCTGGTATTTCTTCAGCGCAGCCTGAGATTCAAACAACAAAACCACGTGCAGTGAGCTGGTGCGCCCCTCCCGCTCTCAACTGGGCCACAGCGGCCCTGACCCTGTGGACGGCAGGAGCTGTGCAGCTGCAAACCTGAGGCCTCAGCTCTGCCTACCCTGGAGGCAAAGATCAGGGCTGGGAAAACCAGCCAGCCTCCCTCTCTCCCACCCCAGGGCTGGAAGCGCCTCAGGTCAAATCATGTAATGAACACCGACAGGGTGAAGAAGAACACCCTTCTTGTCAACCTGGGAGAGACGACAGGGCAGGGTCAGGGCATGAAGAACTCCAGGAAACGACAGCGGGTCAGAGGAGTTCACACAGGTTCCACAGGGTGGCTGCCTCACATCGTTTTTACAAAAAGCGGCCGAGAGGCGGGGGTAGTGGAACCTGGCACGTGGGGCATCAGACGCGAGAGTCCACTCACGGGGTCACATTTAGTCTCAAATGGGCATGAATGTCAGAGGAGTTGCAGGAAACCCACAGGATGGAGAGCTCACAGGAAGATGAAAACCGTTCAGACTGAGGGAAGGATTCACACACAGCAGAGCCCAAGCAGCTCAGGGGGACCAGCAGGTAGAGGGTGGGGGCTACTTACGCTCAGGTACCTGGAGTCCAGCTCCACCTTCTGCTCCAGCTGCATTAGCAGCTCATTGTGAAAAGACTTCAGCTGGACATGGAGAGAAAACAGCCGTCAGCTCCGACGTGTGGCTGCCACGGGGGAGGGGGGCCGGTCACCACAACCATGGCACCTGGGACGCTGGGCACCCCAGTGGGAGAGAGGAGCTTGTCTGATCCATGAGCCGATGACCCCGCAGCGACAGGTGGGCCCCGGGAGTGAGTGCTGAACTGAAGCCCGGCCTTCGACAGGCATGGAGGCTCCACTTCCCTTGGGGAGACAGAGACCGCCTCCCCACTGTCCCTGCTCTCTCGTGCTGGTGGGTAATATAGGCATAAGCTGACACGAGCCGTGGACCTGCTAGGTCCTGGCAGGACCTATAGTCTCGGTGCACCTGTGCTTCCCCAGGCCACCACTCGAGGTGTCCCCACGTGGCCCTGCGGCCAGCTGAGCGTAACACCCCATCTTGCCCGTGTCCTCTTCTTCCAGGTCCGTCTGTATATCCACAGCCCCATGGTGGTCACATCCCTGGTGTGTGACTGCTCTCTCGGGCCCTGGGGACACCCCCACCTCTCTGGGTATGACCACAGGAAGGCACACACTTCCCTAGTGGATGCACAGCCAGAGCACATGCCCGGCTCTTCCCCTCGCCTCTGATAGCGTCTGCTCACTTGCATCTGCCCCTCCCTCCCTGGGGGTTGCACTAGGAGGCTGGGACTCACCATTTCTTCCAGTTGATTTTGAATCTGCCTGTGGACTTCGGCCATCTGGAAGAGAACGTCCCCTGGGAGGCAGATGGCAGGAGAGAAAAGCAGGAGGAAAGTGAGCTACTCAGAATCACTGTCTTGTCACTCCCTCCACGGCTAGGGAGCAGGCACCGTTGGGCCAGGCACTGAGGTTGCTGTGGTCTGGGGACCGGCGAGCAGGGGTGTGCTGGGGGCAGGGGGAGGGGTGCCTCTCCGGGTGATTCCGCCAAGAGGAGATGGGAAATTCTAGAATGACAAGGATACACAGTCGCTTGGTGTCTCTGGGGGTTTGGGGGCCTCAGGCATCTGCACTGGATCTGAGATTCATGGCAGAGATAAGAAGACCGGAGACCCTACGTTTGCAGGTTTCAACCCTGCTGCGACCCTGTGAGCACATGCATCTCCTCTCACAGGCGCCAACCACCAGCGGCCCACCTACCTCGGGCCCAGGCAGAGGTAGCCGCAACACGTAGCCCCTGTGCATCCCGGGACATGGTGTGGAAGGAGGGTGGCCGTGAAAGGAGGGACCCCACGGCTCAAGACACGTCATGGTCAGCAGAGTCCCGACACCCACCCCAAATCAACGCTGTGGAACAGAAGCTCCGAGCTGGGGCACTCATGGCACCGGCCTCCGAAGACCCTCAAGGCCACTGCCCACACCCACAGGGTCAGCATGAAGGACCTCCTTGCACAAATGGCTCATTCCCTCCTCTGCAGAGGGTGGGTCTGGAATGGGCAGTGTGAGCTCCATTCATTTCATTGGCAAATATTTGCTAAGCAGCCATTTCTGGCGGCAGGCACTAACCATGCGCTGTGGCCACGTCCTGCCCTCGGGGGCAGTCACCTGCTGACTAACCCTGTCCCGAGGTGCTGCTTACACCAGGACGACCCTCCCCTGCTCACATCCAGGCCACTCAGAGGTCACGTGACCCAGACGATCCTTTTGGGGGCAGCCACAATGAGCACCTCTGGTCCCCATGAGGCCAGCCAGAGAGCAGAACAGTTCCTGTGGCCCCTGCCACAGGATGACGCTGCCCACCCTCCAAGATCACAAGGACAGCATGTAGATGATCCCCTGGGGTCGCTTTCCCTCCCAGAAGCACAGCTGGGCTCTGGGGACGACCAGCTCCTGGTCATTGGGCCGTTCGGTCAGCTACTGGTGCTCTTGTGGCCCTGATGACCACAGAGCATGGCGATCACCACAGGCAGAAGCCTTGGGGACAGATCGCCAATCCTTGCGGCAGGCTGCCCAAGGTCAGTGGGCTGTTAAATGGCCGCAGTACTGGCCGCTGCTGGCAGGCCCTGGGCCCTGCCTCCCAGGGTCACTCTCTGTTGCTGGAGTGCACGCGAGGGCGGCCTCTCCAGCCAGCGGGTGCCCTGCCCCCGTCTGAGTTCTCTCAGTGCGCTGCTGGGCTGGGTGCCCAAAGGCCTGGCTTCGCCTCGGATGCACAGATTTCTGTCGAGGGAGGACGAGGGGACAAGAGTGCTTCGGAAGGAGCTCCAAGGGTCACCTGGCAGCTGGGAGGAGCCACGGCGTGCCAGGGGGTAGGCCCTGCAAAGCCAACCGCGTGTCCCTGTCAGGAGACAAAGTGGGGGGAGTTCCCTGGCGGCCCAATGGTTAGGACTCCATGCTTTCACTGCTGAGGATGCAGGTTCGATCCCTGATTGGGGAACTAAGATCCTACAAGCCATGGGGTGTGGCCAAAAAAAAAGAAGAAAAAGGGAGACACAGGCATGCTGGTGGGTCCCCTCAGGATGGGGTGAGACCACACATAGCTGTGGTTCACTGGACCCTGGGCTGAGTGTCCAGCAGGCTGCCTGTGCTGACAGTGCAAAGACCCCTTCCCAGGCACCACATGAGGAAGCACAGACCCCTGGGGGGCCCAGGCTGGCACCTAAGGCACCAAGTTGCTTACAGCTACTGCAGAGAGAGGAAGACGCCCAGGCCCAGCCTGAGGCTTCGAAGGATGCTCGCGGTCAGGGCCAGTGCCACGCCGTGTGAGCGTGAGTGGGTAGTGTCTGTGTGGGTGTGAGTGGGGGAGGGCATGTGTGTGCCAGAGTGTACACATGTGTGCGTGTGGGTGCACAGGGTGTGCATGGGGGTGAGTGCTTGCATGGACGCAGGGGGTGTGGGTGTGAGCGTGTGTGGCTGTGTTGTGCGTGGGTGTTGAGTGGGTACACGTGTGGCTATATGTGTGAGCCTCAGTCTCCATTCTCTCTCCCCGCAGCCCTGGGGTGCTGCTATGGCCCCGTGGACACGCGGCCCCAGGAAGCTAAGTGACCGGGCTGTGACCGGGTGGGCCACAGGGATCAGAGCCGGTCCACCATGGTCCTGCCTCCAGGACCATGATTGTCCACGAGCCGGGAGGGAGAACAGAGCGGGGAGATGCACGAGCAGGGGCAGACACCAGAGCTCCTGATGCACAAATCCCCTAATCCAAAGTGATAAACATTTACTGAGCACCACGCATGCCGGCAGGGCCATGGACACCAGCACCAGGGCGCAGGGGGAGGCCTGTCGGGGGCCCAGAGTCCCTGGAAGTTACTTTCCACTCAGGCTCCAAATGGCAGCCTGACCTCAGGCCTGACAGTGCTCTTGGGTATGGCGGGGCAGGGAGGGGCGGCACCTGGGGACAAGAAGGCCCCGCCCCCACCATGGCTGCCTGGGGGCAGCATGGTCGATGGTCAACCTACCATACGCCGAGGGCTGAGCTGCGGCTGAGCAGCCCCAGCAGGATAGGATGTGAGTCTCACTCATCCTCTCCTGGCCCTGACCCCACTTCTACCCCATCCCGACCCCAGGGTATGGTCTATGAGTCAGGGAACTAGCCGAGGACAACAGGGGACAGAAGGTGCCTGGTCCCCGCCCTTGGCCGAAAAGGAACCACCAGGACAAATACAAGCAGGCAGCCCAGGGGACAAGGCCAGGCTGCCACCACCCTGACCTGACCTGCTCAGACCCGCAGCTCCCGAGTGGGATGAGGCTCCCGGCACCACCATGGCCTTTCAGCATCCCCAGATCCGATATGCTTGGTGGGGATGCCGTCCTGTGTGTCAAGGGTGGCATGCACAGAAAATCCAGACCCACAGGTCACCCTCTGGCCCTATGGGCTCTCTCAAGGGACATGAAGTCCATAAATAAGACACAGAGCAAGTGGCACCGCTGGTCACACTTGAGGACCCAGAATCGTAAATTAGTGTCCAGATCAAACTGAAAACATGTATTTCCTTGAAAGGCCACACAAAACTAGTTCAAGGAAAACATTTGAAAAATAACAACAACAAATACCAAGTCCTTTAGATAAAGAATTCCTGTTGCCAAGAAGAGTATGTGAAGCTTCTTGAGGATTCTGGACACTGCACCCCAGGCTCTGTCAATGCACTGGGATGCACCCCATCGCCTCCGCCCACCGGAGCCCTCACCTGTGTCCCTGGACATGCATGCGGGGAGTGGGCACATGCTCTGAGGTACAAGCCAGTGGCTGCCACAAGCCGGTCTACACGGGTAACTTTTAAGGTGCATTATACAAGCAGCTGCAGGAAGCCACGTGTACATGATGGTGGTGTGAGCGTATGGACCCTGGAGCACTGTGGGGGCACTGGGCCAGCTGCAGGGGGCAGTCACCTCTGCCCGGGGATGAGGCTGTGCCCTGAACTAGGCTTCCCAGGAATGCGGGGGGCCTCAGGCATTGGCACGGACGCTCTCTTGTCCTCTCACCCAGGTCCCTTCTGGGTCCTGGGAGGCGGGCGAGTGAAGGTCCTCGGAGCCATGGGGCCGGCCAGAGCCTCCCCCCTTCTCTGGGCTCAAACACCAGCACGAGGTGGGGACACCTTCCCAGGCCCACCCCATACGTGGAGGAGGAGGCCACCGGGCTTTCTATCAGGCCTCATCTGGGAACCCAGGTCTCGGTCCACAGCACAGGTGGGCCCTAAACTCGAAATACCAGGTTTAAAATAGAGCCCAGACCCAGCCTCGCCAGAGCAAAGAGCGGGGGAGCAGGGTAATCAGTTGTCACCACCGATGGGACCGCCAGGGTCTCGAGGAGTGTGAAGAGAGGGGGAGGCAGGCAGGTGGCAAGGCCCCAGGGCGCCACAGGAGGGGAGCGGGCAGGCCTCACCCAGCACTGAGGAGGGTTTGGGAGCAGGCCATCGGGAGCAGGGACAGGAGAGGACACACTTGGGTGCCATGAGGCTTCATCCAGGACAAAACCACTGACAGAAACACAGGCATCTGAGAATGAGGCGATGTCCTCCCACCCAGTGTTTACCCTGTGAGGAGGCAGCCAGGTCAGCAGTGAGTCACCTCCGGCTGCACACCCTTCAGCTCTGAGTTTAAAAATTCCTGGTACTCTTGGTAACCTTTAACACCAGCCTTGTGTCTTTGGGTTAAGAGTGGAACTCGGTACCCGTGGCAACTCCCCTCCCCCAGGGAAGGAGCGAGCGAGCGAGCGAGCGCGCACGCACACACACACATATGCACACGTCAGCACATGCTGCGCTTCCTTACCGACATAGGCGATGTGCTGTTCACCTCCCTCCCCTCCAACACAGTCTGGCTGGACACAGGCTGGTTCTGTCTGGTGTGGCTAAGACAGCACAATGTCGGGACAGCCGCCACCACCTTTGCTCTGCACGATTGCGGCCTGGGAGCCTGAGCATCCTGCAGACGGTGCGTGTGCCCCTGAAGAGAGGCTGTGCGGCCTCGGGAGCCAGGGTGTGCCCTTGTCCCCCAGGGTGGTGGCCTTGCCCTTGGTGACAGGGGCAGAAAGAACTGGTCCAGCCTTCCAGCAGGGACAGGGGCCCCCAACAAGGACACAACACTGGAGCTGGGGTGGCTGGACAGGGAGGGAGGAGGCCCAGGCCTGTGTAGCCCCTCACAGGCCACTCTGTCCTCAAGGAGCAACCACCACTCCTAATTCCAGAACGTTCTTGTCACTCCAGAAACCTGTCCCCATCAGCAGTCACTCCCCTTTCCCTCCAGCCTTGGGCAACCACTAATCTACTGTCTGTACAGTTCTCCCTGTTCTGTGCGTTTAGC